GCTTTGATTTTAATTTATTAAAATACTTCGAGGAATACAGCACATAGATGTGAAAAAATAGAGCACGCTGCGATATATTAATTTCAAAATATGCTGAATATTAATTACCGGCTTCATAGTAATTAATTTAGCCGAATGAAAAAATGACGAGAGCAATTGGCAGCGGTGAAGATTCACGCGAAGCTTCACCGCAGAGAGAGGATTGATCGATCGCGCGATCGAGTGTTCCCCAAGCGGTTTCGCGGCCTGATAAAATTTCGATAGAACGCGCGCCGCGGTCGACACATATTGCGAGTATCTCAATTTCGAGATTGAGATAAGCCCAAGCGATAGCGTGCGTACGTACAAGAGGGGGAGGGGTGCGAGGGAGGTTCTTCGAATATATATTCCCCCGCGGATGGAAATCCATCGCGGAGTCAACGACAAAGTAAAATCGATATTGGCGTTACGTTATATCCGGCGGCCGAGTCCGACGAAAAGAAGCGGCGGATTAAAGCGCGAGATGGATAAATTCGTCGCGTGATTAAAGCGCCGCGGATTATTTCCCTGACGCGGAAAAATAAATATTCAAAGAGGATGCACGCGTAATATTCGCATCGAGTAATATTTCCCCCGCGCTACTTTTTATTTCTTCTGAAATTTATTTTGGATTTTAATTATCTTATCAATGCACGGTGGCGCGCGCGCGCATCGAGAGGAATAAATCATCGTGCTTTCGCGTTCAAATCTACGCAAGTCGACTCGCCACGAATATACATTACGTTTCTTTCCATTCTCACAAATTATACTACATATATTCCTTTTAATTCTGAAAGTATAAAAATTGCTGCACACTTTAGAACTCCCGCGTTTTACAATTTCTCAAATATAAATATATCGTTCCGCAATATACCCCTTTTTTTTTTTATCAATGTTGGAGGGCATTAGGGCTCGTTAATGCCCTAATATTTTACGGTCCTGGGGGTAGTTCTGCCGTGCTGGAAGTGGGGATTCCCGACGGGGCGGTGAGGGGACTGGAGGGGTGAGAGCTGCGATGTAACGTCGATATCGCGCTCTATACCGAGGCGTCGCGACGCCGCGAGTGGGGCGCTCGCTTCGCGGCGGGGATGGCGGGGTGTTCCACATGGGTAAAATAATCGATAGCGGCGACCGATATGTATGTGCAACCTGTATGTACGCGCGCGCGACCAACCCCTCGTACATTTACGGCTCGCTCGTTCTCGTTGTAACTGTAAACACACACGCGTGCGATCGATGAACAGCCCGCGTTACGTGGGCTTCGACGACGACATCGACTTTCTCGCGCAATCGTTGCCATTGTCGCAACATTCGAGATTCGCCATCGGGAGGAGGGGGGGGGGGTGAGAAGGGGATTTAAATGGTCCTCCTCATGCAAGAACGGCGACCGATCGGCGACATTTTCGCGAATCCGCGCTTCCTGTTTATTCAAATTGCCTCATTACGTTAAATTGGATATTTATTTTCGCCGGTTGTTCTCAATTAATGTCGCAGCGCGCATCCGACGACACGCAAAGGGGTGTCCACTTATACGGAAATGGGAACGTGAAAAACACGAAACGCTGTGTGTGAAAGTGTAAATTCACCCGAGCTAAATATAGTTATATACTTCAATCGCGAGATCTGTTCATAAATAATAGCGCGCTCCTTTTAATGTTGCGCGACCCACTTTTCTCAGTTTTACGATATTTTTACAATTTTCCCGAAATAAATCGCGCATTTCTCCGAGACAAGCGCAAATTTTTGATGGACATAAGGAGGAAAAATAAGAGGACAAATGGAGCTGCGGGGAGTTGAATGACGCAAGAGCTTTTTTGAATGATGCTTCATATGCGTTAAATATAAAATTAATGCGACTCGAAAATTAGAAGGGAGACCTGCGGTGGTGGAACCGCAAGAATTTCCACGGGCATTCGACTCGGTTTTCAGCGCAAAAACTATCGATCAGCGACAGGCGATACGGTGAAGTTCGATCGGCGCAAAAAGATCTCCGCGACGCCGAATGATTTTTGCCAATTAATGAGGTCTTGATGTATCGCTTTTTCGCTCGCCGCCCCGAATGCAGTTAGATCGAGATAGATAAATGGATAGACGAATGCGCAATTAAATAATGCGAAAAATTTAAAAAGAAAACATGCGGTTCTCCGCGATAATACGCATCGCGCGGACCGCATTCCTCGAATTAACGCAAAATTCGCGAACGAATGCCGCTCCGCATAACAATATAACTCACTTTTTACCCGCCGAACGCAGGTGCGTCCCCCCGCGTTTCCCCCGTCGCCGGCATCGTCGAGCTGTACTTTCTTTAGAAATCGATATCTATAATTATTTCATCGCTCTCTCCGTGCATAGTATTACGCTCGCATTATGGGACTCTATAGACTCGGCTAAATGATAAAGTAGATGATTGCTAATAACGTACAAAAGTAGACAACAAAGTTGTCGCATAATTAAACTATCCCTTAGTTCATTAAATAAATTATGCGCTCGAAGCTAAGCTTGCGACTGAAACGTAAAAAGTTCAAAGTTATATATTTAAAAAAATCAATTGTTATAATATTATATTTTACTATAATTAGAAAAAAAAGTATTATAATACTCTCTTTCAATGGTATAATTATAATGTGATTAACGTGGATTTTTATTCGAGACAGATTTTCGCAATTAAACTTGCGTTTCACTCATACTTGTTGTCTCGCAGAATCGGGAATTATTTTCAATTTGAGGTGCATTTCGGTGGACTCTCTCTCCTTGGCCGATATTATTAGCTATTAGCGACTGCCGCAAACATTTGTAGATCGTAGACGTCAGATCGGACATGAAAGTAGAGATATGCTGTTCCGCGTAATTAACACAAACGACATACAGGCGTACTCATTGGCGTAACTGGAGCAACGTGTACACATATAATACATGGGCGTCGATACATCAGAGACGTCAAAGTCCCTCTCTCTCTCTCTCTCTCTCTCTCTCTCGCTCTGCAATTTTCAGAGCCCTTAATAGTCGGCTCTTTCGAGGTGCATAATAAATACAAACGGCTCTATCAGGAAAAAAATGACAGCTTTTTTTCAGAGAAATTGCAGTGTTTTTCATGATTAGAGCTGTTTATGCACGAATCGGCGCGAATCACTCCCGAGAATTTACCGATGAATTTACATAACAATATTATTAGCGAGCGATCGAGGCATAAATAAGGACACGCAATTACGCGACGCGACCGTTGCGGCTCTCACGATTGCCGCACTTGTTTTGTGGTTTTGTCAAAACTGTTTCTCGATGCGATTGAATTGTAAAAATCAAAATTAATCAGAAACGTTTGTCAGACTTGACGCAAGTTATAGTAAATTTTTATTTAAATTTCAAGATTGATTAAAGATTAAAATGCTTTCAATTGCAAAAATAATATTATACTAATCTAACAAAAATAGCAGTAGTGATAAAGCAAGAAGGAAAATTATATATTTTGAATGATCGAAAAAAATAACTTGATCTATAAAATCTTCTCGTTTTACTTTGCTGATTATATGACTCTTGATTTGCAATTAAAGATGGATTTTTTGTAATACAATTGATATTTCCGAGGAGAAGCGTCTCGCCGCTTTCACGCTCTGATAGGATTCTCCTTGCGATAGTGATCGATTATCATTATTAATAAAATTGTCTAGCAAAATCCACATTAACTTTTCACGCTCGTCTACGTTCCAATTTCGTTCCAGATTTGCTCGCGTTCTAATCCGTGTTCCTAGGAAACGAGCATCTTCGAGCAGCATTTCTCAATTAATTAATAACAGTTAGTCAAATGGCATTGTATAACAGTAACATAATTTAAGCATAGCAGCTCAATTAAATAAAATATGATTAAATTCGATTGCAATAAATTTATTAATTGAATATTTTCATTGACTTTATAGCGAAGTTATATCTCTCTTCGCGTATTTGTCCCATCAAAATTTTATCATTTCCAAGTACTTTGTTTGGCCTGAAGAAGTGTCGAGATCCGGCTGCAGACCTCGTAGGGCTCGGCGCAACTGTCCTTAAGAGTTTTCGACTTGACGACGAAACAGTCAAATCGGTCTCTTTCCTTCTCGCTCTGACAACGTTAAGCCAGTGGCTAACATATGATCGCATGCGAACGATAGGGGCCGCGAGCGGCCTGCGTTTAGAGCGGAGGGGGCGGAGGGAGGGAGGGAAGTCGTACAGGGAATCTCCTTTGGATCCCACCCGTAATAGTGGCGGCCCCCACGGCAGCCAAGGGGGCTCACCTGCCGCCAGGTGCGACTCCCCGGTCTGCGCTCGCAGGCCATCTGCATGAGGGACGACAACTCGTGCCGCGCGCGTTTCCTCCTTACCTTTCCTAGATCGCGCGAGCGCGATGATTAACGCGCGCACACAAGCGTGCGGTTGAAGTACGTAGCACGCGACCCACGTGTGTACGTTGATACGCGTCACGGGGGGACGAGCATGGTGGCGGCGGCTAACCGAGCGTGTGTGTAGCCACCTCGGCTGGCAATAAGCCGAATTCCGCCTCGCTGAATGAATACGAAATATAATTAAACAAAAAAAAAAAATAATAAATATATATAACGAACGCTCGGATGATTGAAAGAGAATATATTTAGCCTTACAGGCGGCAGAAGAATAGGAGGTGAATTTAGCGGTAAGTGGATTTAAAAGAAAAAGGAAATCTGAAATATGAATTGCGCAAATGTGAAACTATCCTCTTTAGAAGTTATTTTCAAAAATATTCATGTCATTTGTGTAAGTTTTAGAACGTGGTGAAATAAATTGGGTGTATATATAGCATCCGAAATCGTCACAGCTTCCTTTTAGCTGCGAAGTGTTTTAGTTATGAGGATGAAATATGCAGTATGTTTTTCCCATACATGTTCGCCATACATTTTATTATTTTGCATATTTACACAATAGGAATTTATTTATTTTATCGCAAATTAATTTTTAAATATTCCAAATTGGATAATGAATTAAAAAGCCGAGGCATTGCGACATTATTTCTACAAATACATTTAAATGCAAAATATTCTTCCAATATTTGGTCGAATACGTAGTTGCGCTTTGTTTCTACTACATTATATTTCCTGTCATTCTACATTATTATTCTCTATACATTCACATACAGAAGCTTATTCTTACTGCAAATTATTTGTCAATATATAACGATTATTTGTCAATCCATAACAAACAGTCTATAATATCGCCACTATAAAGATTGGCTCTGTCAGATGTAATAAAATTAATTTTTGAGCTTTACTTCTCTTTCAATCATATTCGGCACCGATCGTGATGCTCATGTCTTCGGAAACGATCTTCGTCTGGTGGTACCATCGATTCGTGTCCAAAACGACTGTAACAAGAGATATCACAAAGTTAGATTGCACGAAAAATTTCGTGTCTGTCAAATAAAGTCGAAAAGAGAATATAAATAATAAATTTCGAGAAATAAGTTATTCCCAAAGAAGCTTTCGGCTCCGTTTGGAGCAGCTGAAATAAATTATTTGCATATTTTATATTAAAAGTCAAATATAACCAATTGACATTCGGTCCAGAATAACATTAAATGCAATTTTCAATGCGGAGAGCCGCATTTAGCGCTCTAAACGCGAAGTGCGCTTAACTTTGCAGTTAATTCATAAATATCATACATAATTCATATTAGTTTTTATCTGAAATAGCTCACTTATTTCGCCGGGATGCACAATCACTTCCAGCCTCTTACACGTGTAGTGACACTCTCGCGGCGGCTCCAAAATCCACAATTTTTCACCCTTTATCTGCGCCTGCCAGGAGGGATGCTCCACGTCGTCCACCTTGAAAAATTTCATATTTTCAAGATGCACGATTAATGACGGCCGTCCTTATATACTCAAGGCATACTTAGAGCGATATATTTATATATAAATACATTGTCGGGAAAAATACATGAAAGAAAAAATGCAAAAATTAAAAACATGGAATTAAACAAATTTTTAGTAAAAAATATCTTTTTTTGAAAATATACATTCAATAAATGTAGAAATAGATATGAAATACAGCACGCGCAGCGGTGCAGAAAAAATATTAATGATTTATTAAAGTATATTATTCATTAAAATGATTTACCTTAACGAATGATAGTTTATGCGATGTGATTTGATAAGAAAAGAACTCCGCGTGATATTCCACGTGACTTACATGCATCGGTGCACCGTAGCCATGGCTTCCCATAAAAATCCAGTCCGTCTTCTCGCTTTCAGCGGTAGCGGGAAGAAAATACGGTCTCTGATAATGCTGTCTTAATATCGCGCCGATTTTCTCATCGCAATTGCTCCTGAATGCCAAGAAAAAAATTCTTGGAAAAAGCTCAAGTATTTTTGTTCTCTTTAAAATTAATCGAAATTGATCGAGAAATTTTCTGTTTTAGAAACGATGCTGTCGAGTCGATTTAGCGCTACCGATAACTTTTTAACCGAGGATTCTCGGTCGAGCGTTTCGCGATCGTCGCGTACGACGTCGTAAATGCGGTTTTTTTCTGTAAGCTTGTTAGCGCACATCGCCCGTGTGTGCGTGCATCGGTGTGCATTCGGGGAAGTATCAGAAGCCGTAAAAATGCACCGTACGCTCGCAGCCCGGTACGCTTAAGTTTCTTGTTACGATTACCATAAAGCTCGCGCTACTGAACGTTTAACGGTCGTTCATTTTCTGCTAGTTGCTTCAGCAGCAACGCAAAATGCAATATTATTAAGTTCACCATATAATCTATTTTGCTGTCAATTAACATACAACGTGATAATACAGAATAATTCACAACGTGTCGCGAAATAATGAATTTTCAGTATTTTTTACGAGTACTTAAAGCGTGTTATTTTTTTAATCTAGAGGCTAAAATCACATATTTTTCTAGCAGCAGAATAATTATCGCAGTGTAAGCGAAACAGAAATTCAAGGAAGCTTTTCTGGAGTTATATATAGTTTATTACACACATTCGTGCGACGTATGAATTTTAATTTGTTCGCGACGATTCAATACGCACGTTTCGCTATAATTTGTGTACTTTGGCACTCGTCTCGCGTTTTGACGAATTAAACAATGGAAAATGAAAATTATGAATTATTTGTGAATAAAGTGTCGTTTATTTTAGCTGTCGCCTGATTGGCAATTTCAAATTAACACTCTATATTTTTAATAATTATGTTTACAGGAGACGCTCTGCAGAGGAACGTAGCAGCGGCGGTGTATCGATCGGTGAGTGAATTCATATTTTATGTGCATGCAACCGATTATTTATTTATTTCAATGTCGTTGCCAATGCAACACAATTTTCTAAAAGTAAAATTAATAACAAATTACAATAATAAATTTAACTATTAAAAATTACTGAAATTATGATTATTCATATTATTGGTTGTAAAAAATTTGTTTTTAAAAATTCATTACTCTGAAAAAAAATCATTATTGAATTCTCTACGAAATTGTTAATTTATTTGTTGTCTTCCTTTAATTTTTTATTTTCAAAGAAAATGTATTATTATGTTACTAATTTTGTCATTGGAAAATTATTGTATTTGTAATGTAAGAATCAATTTAACTTATTAATTCTTGGATTTATTGTCTTTCAATGATAAATTGCACAAATTTATTATTAAATCGTAGAAAAATTATTTCAATGATTTTATGTCAAGTGTAAAAGACTTAAAATTTCTGGAAAAAATTATTTACATAAAGACAAAATTGGCAAAAGGTATTGAGACTGTTGTATAAAATTTCAAAAACTGTCTTTCACGCATCCAAGGATTAAATAGGATTCTAAATTACTCACCATCCGACGTACCAGGGCTTCGTGCCCTTCTCCATCGTGGCTCGACTGTCGCTCATGTCGAAGACGTCCTGTAAATTCTGAAATTCCGTCTTATACGGGAAGAATTGGCAGCTCGCCTCCTCCCCGTGATACAATGCTTTAAAAAAGGCGAACGAGAACATTTGAGGCGCCGTCCAGTTCGCCATTGCGTCGCTTATCACCACCGGCTTCCCTGAGTACGCGTAACTAATTACAAAGTAAAATGCAATTGTGGAGAGAAATCGAACAGTCAGTTGCACGTAGTGACGATTACAATAAATTAATTTTTAGAGAATTACTTGTGTGTGGAAACAAATAAAAATTTTTTATGCGTTTTTAAAGGGGAGAGGGACAAGTTTTTGAAAATTAGAGAACATTATGCATAAACAAATGAACAATATGCAAGTGCTGCGTGCGAGTACCGTTGCTCGAAGATCGTCGAATCAACAGCGGAGAGCTTGTCAACCTGTTGAACGTCCTGGCAAATTGAACAATCTTCTGGCGGTCGGAAAACTTTTTGCGTAAATGGGGGCACCGTTACCAAACACTAAAACAGTGATTTGCTGTTGCCTAACTCATATCGAAATCCATAATTTCTAACGAAACATAATTAACTCGCAGTAAAAGTTAATTCTGTTTAACTTCGGACTTTAATTCTTCTATTTTTTATCAAATTTACTTTTCCACATTTTATAAATTTTTTAAAATGTGCAGTGTACAAAACAACAATACCGACATTTGCACAAGTATTTCTGCTTTAATTTTCTTGATAGATCGAATTACTCGAATCACATTACGAATCGACTAGACTTTGATCGTCTCGAACTGTTTGAGGTGTCCAAATGTAGCGATCTAAAGTTTTTTTTTGCTCTAATTTTTCTTTTCATTTCGAAGCGCAAACAGTTCAAACGTAGAAAATGTTCGAATGTTTTTGTTTGAGCTCTATGTAAAATATCGCAATGTGAAATTCTGCTTACCTTGTTATATCGATATGTTTGCACGCGATTCCGAGCGACTTGCACCGTCATCCACGTGGCGATCAGCAGGATCCACAGGTGCCTCGCGCGTAGCTTTATCGGTTTCGTCGGTTTTAATCGCGAACGAACGCGCAACAGCCTCCACGCTTTAACCGGAAGCCTCAGGTCGTCTATCTTTCCCAATATCCCGCGCAATTCTTTCTTCGCGTTGTCGATGGATTTTTTCGCGGAATCCGCGATGGCTGCATTGTCACTTATATTCGCCATGATGGAGATTGAAGAGAACCGATAATAATTTAAAATATTAATTTCGCGAATCAATCAGGATTATTTTTCAAATCTTAATTTGAAACAATCAATTTCTGACGATATATATCTGCAATTAATTTTAACAATGTTATGATACGGATTTGATTAATTTTTACTTAATTGTTTGAAATGTGAGGAATTACTAATTAATTTTCTTAACGTGTAAATTGCAATTATAATTTCCTTTATTGCTTTCCAAATCGAACGGCATAAAAATAAAGCTCAAACAATTTTAGTTGTAAAATAAAATTTTCCTTTTTTGTACGATCACGGTTTAACGATTGTGATTATTGTATATTCCGAAAGCACCGGTGGTCCTGATGGCCGGCGTGAAACTGCGAGAAGGATTCTTACCTGCTGCTTCAGCGAGCCGAGGATCCCCTCTCGTATCCGCCTCTCGCATGGGGGTGGAATAGTGATTTGTTCACGCGGGTGTGAAACGAGCACCAGTGCCCGCGATACAGGCGACCGATTGGTTTCGATCGAATCTGTTTAAAGCGGCGGGGAATGGGTTATTTGACGAATATTTAACCCACTTCTCGCTTATCCAATTTTTTTCCGTAGAAAACTCTGGAATTTTTCAGAGACTCTCGAACGCGTTTTACAATGTAGAGAGAAATTTATAAAGTACGGGAAAAAAATTTATCTCTCATTGTTATTTAAATAAAAATTAACAAATTTTAAATTAATTTTTAACAGCGTAAAAAAATAAATTTTATAACAGATTATTTTTTATTTATGTAAATAAATTTGCAATAAAACGATAAATATGGAACAGTAAATTTGATCGAAAATCCGCCTATTAAAGTCCGAAATTGAACAAAATTAACGTTTATTACAAATTAATCATATTTTGTTAGAAATTGTGGATTTCAGTGTAAGTTCGCCAATAGTAAATCTTTGTTTTAATGTTTGGTAACAATGCCCTCGTTATGTAAAAAGTTTGCCGATTGCTAAAAAATTATTTTTAATTAAATAATGATTTGAATAAAAGTAATGAAGAATTTAATTCAGGGGAGCGAAGAAAAGGATTATAAATAATAATTTGAATCAATATGAGAAAGATTGAATTTAAAAAGAAAAAATGGATTTGTATTTTAAATTACAAAATAACAATGAATATTGCTATCATGCTGCCAGTTGAAAATTTACGCAAGAAATAAAAAAAGAGGGAAAGGATTGAAAGGAAATTCAGGGGAATTATGGGGTAAATGCGACGCGTTCATTTCATGGGGAATGTGACGTGGGCGCTGCTTCTCTTATCTCGGGGTGCAGGTGGCCTTGTTCATCGAAGTGTATAGACTTCGCCGACTTAAAATACGATCGACCTACTTCACAATATTTCTTATACTTCGCAACTCCCCGAACGACGTAGAATCTACCCCCCATTACTCGGGAGAAATTGCGCAGGAAAATATTTATTTGCTTTCGAGAAATATTTATTCGAGATTTACTTGCTATAAACAATACCTTTATTCAAGAGTTCTCGAAAGTACAAAAAGGTTTTCTTGCAAATGCATGTAGATTAATAAAGAGTAAAATTAAAAGAGTTATTATAAATTAGAGACACTTGCATTTATTGTCGCTTTCGCAAAGCGAGCTTTTGCAATTTATTCATCAACGTATAATATTGTGTCGGAATTTTCATTATTGTGTATTATTATTTATTCTGAAAGTAAACCGTAGATATTGCATGCATTTATTTATGCACGCGTATTACTTTTTACTATAAATTTTTATTTCATTTTTTATTCAGATTATATGTTTTAATGGACGAAAACTCCATCATGCGTTTCTGTCAGTTCACTTAGAAAGTTTTAACTTCACGAAACACACCTCTAGATCTATCTATCTGTCTATCTGTCCGGTTGCACTTCGATGAAACTTTTCTTGGAAATTCGTTTTCCCGCACGTGGAAACGGAACTCGCGAAACAATTTCCATGCGATTGGAAACGAGCGGACGAGATACGAACGAGAGGCGCGCGCGGACGAGATTACGCGCCGAGGAACAGATTTTACAATTGCAAATTGTCAATCCGCACGGCAATCCGCGTCTTAATTAACAATTAGCCCGAACGCGTCCGAACCGCGCGTCTCGTTTCGTGGTAGAGTTCGCCCTTTTAGGAAATACGACCGAATAAAACCGCATTCGCTCTTTTTTTTCTTTTTGATCATGCGGAAAGAGCGCGACTAGCGGTTCGCTCGCGAATTTCGTTATTCGCGACAAGAGGACTCTCTCTTTCTTTCTCTCTTTCTCTCCCGGACACGCAATAAAATCGCAATCAAAAGAACGAAAGTCAAAAATGCGATTACGCGTTCCGCGAACGTTCGATCCTTTATAGACCGCGTATCCTTCAGTTTCTGACTCGACAAATATACGTATTTCCGCAACGAACCTTAATTACTTAAACAAACCTTTCGCGAATTTTTTACATATTTTTTTACCACGCTTTATTTAGTTTAAAAACCAGAAATTTTTTTTTTATATTTTCTCGTTGATTAAAATTAAAAACGACGTTTTTCAAATTATCAGAAATGTGTGTTTCAGAGATATAAAAGATGATGTATTAGAATATTAAAAAACCTCAAATATATAAAATTCTATATATAAATATTCCTCTTTTCTGTTTAACGACAAATATTGTAAGGATCAGAAAGGAAGGGTCGTGGAAAGACAAGACACGCACGCACGTGTTCAGCGCAATTTAATTCTTTAATTGTCGTCAGTCGGATTCGAAATACACTAGTCGATCTTTATTATAATTATTATCGTATATACGTGGTACTCTTTCGAGAGATATAAATAATACATAATACAATGATAAAGTAACGACAGTACGCTGCCCCTTTTATCGCCTTAAAAATTATACATACGTACAATCCGTTAGAGCACTGCACACTCAATCGAATCACGTGTGAAAACACATACGAATTAAATAAAGATGATGATTCTCATCCCCAGCGAGTTTTTCCGGAGGGGTGAAACGAGGGAGAGGTCCATTCTTCTTCGACTCTTTGCTGATGAGGATTCTATCGCTTTTATTATCAGGAACGCGAAATTGTGCTAATAATAATAACAATTATAGATAAATCGCAGATGGCGCAGCATCCTGATCGTGACGACTTTAATCGAGATACATTGACAATCAGGATACGGTGTCCTTATTGATCCTACGATATTCACTACTATACAGTGATTATTGTAAAACACATGACTGTACACTTACGTCAACTAAAGTGTTCGAAATCATTATTGACGAACATCACGTCCAAAAATAATCGCATTATTTCCTTGTTAATAAACCAATAATAATTATCTAAAATATCTCCAAAAATAGAATTTTTCTTAAATTCTCATATCTAAGACTTTTGGAATCCTCAATTTTCTCAGGACGTAAAGGTCCTTCTCATTCAATTTTCCAATCAAACAATTTCCGAATCCATGCTTTTTCGGATTAACAAATCATGGATTTATTCTAGATTTTTGCATCCATAGATTCTCGGATCTATAAGAGCGCGCTGAGATTTATAGGAAAATCTTCGAGTCTATAAATTCCCGAATCCGAACGTTTTGCAATTAATTAATTCAGGGATCTGAATTATCGATATCCTTGCGAATTCACGGATGCTGAAATTTATATCAAGATTCGTGAGTCTTAAGATTCACAAATTCTAAGATCCATATGCATCTATAGATTTTTAGTTCACGGATCTTTTTGAGTTCAAGGCATTTTCGAGAGATCCTTGCGCTTTTTCCACACGATTACATTATAATTTTTATAAAACCTACAATAAGTTATAATTTACGTTTCGTCAAGGAGATGCTACGAGGCTTTTTTGGACGCCCGTCCAACGTATGCAACGTAAAATCTACAGCTATGGAAGATGGGCGATCCTGATCGTCCGTATTCTTCGGACTCGCGTAGAATCAATCATCCCTGTCCCAGTCCTCTCCCTCCACCCCCCGCGCCACTCGTCGCGCTGTGACGTTTGATGATTAATACTAAACGCGTGGTTGGTGAAGGTTCTCTAATACATCTAAGATGCACACCCATGCTTATTTAATGCTCCGTTAATTTAAATACGTATGCAGCACAGTAGACTATCTATTTTTTTCTTCTATTCGTTAATGCGCGTGTTACATGTGTGTTAATGGTAATGTGTGTGAATACGTATTTTTTTCCTTTTACCTTCGCCACCTTCTTCCATCTTTTTTTTTTTCTTTTTCTTACTATACTCGAGTTTATACGGCCTCGCGGCGCGTCGTCGATCCACTTAAAAATCATCCTTCTCGTCCCTCGCGACTTTTCAATTGAATTACAGCGAATATACCTTTTCTTTCACCCTGATTAATTCGACTTTTGCAAGTAGGGAAGTACTCGTCGAACGGCGGTGCGCCGCTTCTCGCGGCGGTGCGTTGACGACGCGCCGATCGAGGCCGGCAGCCTTTGTTTCTTTTTTTCTCCTTTTTTTTTCTTTTACGTATTGTGCAAAAATTCTTATGGGATACGAGACGAGATATACATTCGGTCCTTCGTCCTGCCTGTTCTTTTTCGTCTCTAAAACGGGGATCGAAATCGCCGTAATCTCACAATCATTACGTCAAATATTTCCGCGCGAAATAGAAAACGATCTCTGTGTAGATTTTTCCGCGAACAACGCCGGCGGAAATTACGACGATCGCGATCCCACCGATCTCTAATTTCGAGGCTCCAGGAAAAAACGATGATGATCGCTCGGATTTGTTATCTTTCTTTCTTCTCTCTCTTCCTCTTTTTAACGCTATCAGTCTTTCAAACCGTCAGCGATTGACAGCGATCGCGATCGATGAATGATGCGTGAAGTGAGTCGATTGGGGAAACGAACAGGATGAGACGCGGCTCTACATCGTGAAAAATCGCGCGACCGGATGAAAAAATGCTCGGTGTTCTTTTTTTTTTTTAGGCCAACAATGGCGATTCTTTTAGGAAGGGACAGTCCCGCGAGAGCTTCGATCTTTGAATATTTATTAGAAATGAATAATTGCGCGGCAGCGTGTTTGCGATTATTCGGCGCGAGACTTAATTAGTTAGGTCGT